GTACCCCCCCCCCCCGCCCCCCTCTCCTAGGCCGTCGTCGAGCGCGAGGAATTTGCCGACCAAAACCGGGGGGACTCCGCCCCCGACGTGGAGACGGTGTTTAGTCAGGTCCGCAACGGGCGGCTGAAGCGGGTCGAGGACTCCCTGGAGAAGGGGTTCTCGATTGACACAACGGACGAGCACGGCAACACGGCTCTTCTGGTGGCGTGTCAGGTACGTGAGACTCCCGCGTGTCTTCAACGACGCGAAATAGTGTCGAAGCCTGTTTTTTAGGTGCGACCGCTGGCATATATTTCCTTGGGCTTTTGCACGATCTTACACGTCTCCCGGAGGCCGGGTTCGTGAAACAATGGGCTGGCAATGGACGTTTCGACTCGAGCCCGCCGAGGCTATCTCCTTAAAGGGTACCAATTGCGCGAGGTAGCCCTAAACAGGAACATGACGATGCCTCAAAGGTTTTCGCCGCAGGGCTAACGAAGAATGCGGGGCGCGTGCGCGGCAAATTATGTGCAATTTTGCTAATTAACACACGAGGTATAGCAGAGCCCAAACGATAGTCCCCAGGAAAGTTGTAAGCTTCGCAGTGTTTTTTCGAGGTTGACTCAATCTCTTTGCCAAGCTTAAAGGAGGATGATATCTTTCCACCAGAGGCTCAGAGGGTCTTAGCAAGAGGTCTTGTACCCTTCGGAGGTAATATAATACCGTTTCAGATCCAATCTGACGACGCCAACGGCCATGTCACATGTTTCACCCCCCCCTTGGGGATGCATACCTTCACCCCACACCGATGTTTATTTGTAAGTTGTTGTTAGCGTCGTGTTCCCTGACATATGTAGACGTTTAGGTATGGGACTCTTGACCGCACCTGCTGTCACTATCAAGTTCGTCTGACTTTATTTCTGGCTCGCTTTGTAACTGCGAAATTTCTGGGTGTATATTCTGCAGTATGCGGGGAGGCTGTGTGTGGTCCTTTCACTTTCCCAAGAGAAACGTCTCCTTGCTTTTTTCATGCGCCATGGTTTTGGTTTTGCCCCTGGAATGTCATCAGCGTTTTGCGCGAATAGCTAGCCCCATTTTGCGGTTCATGGAGAGAGCCCAAAAAGTGTTCTTTCAGCCCCTCCTGCGTATTGCATTTGTGGGAGCTACAACCTGCAGCTTTGCGAGGTGTCTTCCCTCCCTGTCATTCATTACATTATCCGAACCGCCTCTAACCCCACCTCTACCCTGCCCTTAACTTCCCCCGAACCCAATCCCCCTCCTCCCCGTCAGAATTGCAACGTGCAGCTTTGCGAGATGCTGCTGCGGCGAGGGGCGGACGTGAACCACCGCAACGGCCGCGGGAACACCCCTCTGCACTACGCGATGGCATACGACACCCAGGGTGTGCTGGGGGAGATGCTCATCTCCAGCGGTGGCGACGACACGATCACGAACAGGGATGGCCTTTCCTGCTACGATGGCCTCGGTGGCGCTCCTCCGAGCGCTTAATCAGGAACATGGGGGGCACCGAGACGACGACAAAGCGTGCCGATACTATGTATATGTACACAGCAAATCGACACAATCCGCGAGGCCGCTATTGTAGTGCAGTTGATTTAGGCGGCAGTCTCAAGTGTGAGACGGAGAGTAGAGTCTGTTTCACTGTGTTGCCCAACAACGAAGCAAGACAGCTCGATCGATTGATCAACACCTTGTCGCTCGTGTGGTGATGAGCTCGGAGATCCTCTATCATATCGCCGGTACTATAATATGTACCCCCCCCCGTGGTGGTGGTCGAGTAGGTTATGTTGTGCGGGGTCGAGAACGCTCACTCTGCACAAAGAGGATGATCGCACTGTGTCGTGTTAAACTGGTCAAGCACCCTCGAGGCAGTTACACAGTGCTCATAACTGTCTCTGGAAGTGAAGGCATGAGAAAATACATCAAGTAATTCGCAGCTAGCTGTCATCCGTATTCAAGGAAGTAAGCACAAGATGCCGAACACCCTTAGCAGGATGTAGCGCACCCTTCATGCGACTCGCCGAACACCTCACGGCGCTTCGCGCTTTGTGATGTGCGAGCCTGGTCCGATGAGCTCCGTCCCGACTTTGCAGGGATGCGAGGTCAATGGTCTAACGACTACGGCATGCACGCCTAGACTGTGAGTACACCCCCCCTTTGGCCCCAAGTTGTCTGTGCGGCGTAAAAAACGTACCCATGTCCCCTACCTTGTACAGTTGTCAAATGCGCCTTGTTGTTAGTGGGGATAGTTGAGGAGGGCAACTCCTGAGCCATTTTCCTGGGTAGAATGAGACATGTACCGCAGATAATCTCTTCTGTCTGACCCCGAGTCGGACCTCTTTAGATTGAGGGGCAAGCCCATGCGGTACGGGCTAAAATATTATACACACAGAAAGAAAGGTAGAGGTAGAGGGTTGGACACAATGTACATCCATCCAAATGTTGCTTTGTCTCGTACATTTGAAGAATAAGCGGTGGAACACTGTTCGCGTGACTTCGGCTCCATCTACTGCATGGGCGGTATCACCATGGGATCATGCCAAGAACTGAGATATTTTTACCTCACAAACCGCGTTGCAGAAAGCACAGAGCTCGAAGTGTATTAATGTGTGCCTTTGGCGCGGGGAGCTAATATTTGACAGGAACGTATGACCAGCGTGATCTGAGAGCCACTGGTACAAAGGGTGCGATCGGGCACCACCGCTGGTGAAAACGACTGCCTTGACTTGCAATTAAATTATCCGTGGGGTAAAACTGAAGAAAAACAAACGCGGTTTTCTCCAACGAGGCTTGAAGAAAGCGTTCGCGAGCGTCCAAAACCTTTTCCGGCCCGGTCACGAAGCATCATCGTAAGCAGCGTCGTTGTGCTCGAACCACGCGGTGTGCACTCACTCGTAGCATCTACTATTAATACTACCATATTGTGCTTTTTATTACATTTACTGTCCAATTTCTTATAATAACGAGAACAGCATGCACAGAAGAGCAACACGAAAGAAAAGCTTTCATTTCATTGTACGTAAACCCTCGGTTTATGCAGCCCAGGCGGTAGCGGAAAGAAACAAATATACCCGAGTGCCGGCACCTCGAACAAACAAACCACGAACACGGTCAACAACACAGGAAACAAGGAACGGTCCCGCAAGCACACATACGCGACATTTCAGCATGCTATGGACACCTCGGTATTAAACCCGTAACCAACGATTCTAAGTGACTGCTTCAAGGAAGGGATCACTGTTGCAGTTATGTAGGCCATACACTGTTATTGCCACATCTTGTGGGCACGGGGTAGTATTCAGACAGAATGCTCATACGTGCGTGCTGTATCGTCAAGTCGTTTGTCCGTTGACGAACCAAACGTGGTGATAGCCCTGGTGCTTGGCAGTCTTGGACGAAACACTTGAAATGGGTAGAAACAGAAAGAACACCTACTCAAACGACAACAGGCAGCATCGCCCGGAGGCACCCGACCTTTGGGACACGCACTATGGATACCGACTCACCCCCTGTAACCTAAAACAAAAACGGTAATCAATCGCGTACCCCACTCCACCGCGTCAGGGCTTCTACAATCTCAGGGTAGGGAAGGTGCTCTACTCGCCCGCCGAGAAGATGCCAACAAGCCAAACGTCTAAAAATCAAGGCAAAGGGAGAAAGAATTATGCCCGATTCCTCCAAACAACCGTGTCCCTCTTTCTATCGTCGAATCCTACACCCGTCGTCCTTGCAGCTAAAAACTTTATGGATTCCCAAGTCCCGAAGCACAGGCGAAGGCGCCAACAGTCATGGTTTTCTAGCTCTGTACGT